GCTGTCAATTTCCTACTGGGCCAAGATCAAGGTGCTATTATTGGTATATAAAGTATGGTTACCAGACGTCCCCATTTCCTGGGGACAGTCCCTGGATTTACAAATCTGTGCCCGGAATGTACCCGGATTTCATTTAATGTCCCCGGACTTATATTTTAAGTGTTGTAGATTTATTAGTAGGGAATGAATGTTCCGTGATTGGTTCAACAGCACAAGACACATCATATGGGGACTTCCAGTGAGGCAAAATGGCGGGTGCCACGGCAGCGGGCAGCTCCTGAAGCCAGCCAGAGTCAAGTGCGCTACCAGGCTGACTCCGGGCTGCTGAGACTGCCGCTGCCGCTGCTGAGGGGCAACCGGGGACGCCCGACGCGTCAACTGGGGCAACCGCTGACCCCCCCCATGACCCAAATCGAGCCAGGAGCGAGAGCACCCGGCCACCCAGCCGACTGCCCAGTGGCGCACCGGGGCCAGGAAAACCCCAGAGCCGATACAGGGAGAAGGAGGAGAGGAGAAGGAGAAGGAAGAGAGAGAAAGAGGAAGGAGAAAAAAGAGGGGAGCCCTGACCTTGCTGCGCCACTGCGGCTGCCACTGAGGAGGAGAGGTAGGAGAGCACCGGGAGGGCAAGGACACGTGGCTGAGCCCAGGCCTGGCCTGAGCCTACTCCACGGCAGCTAGCACTCCAACAGAGCAGGCCCAGAGGAAGGCCACACAACAGAGGAGACCACAGAAGAGAAGATATTACTTCTTATTTTTAATAAATAAATAATAATAATAATGTTTTTTCTCTTAAAAAAAAGTGTCCCCGGATTCTTTGAAAAGAAATCTGGTAACGTTACTATAAAGCCCATCATGGCTTGGTTCTAGCTTACAAAACAACTTGGGAAACCTTACCCAACATGTTTCCATGAGAACACTTTGATCTGAGCTGTGATGAGCAAGTTACATCGGCATATCATTGGCTGAGCTGCAGTATGCGACATGCTGAGCCTAACTGAGCCAGGATTCAACCAGCTGAGCCAGAGATCCTAAGCTATTCATCCCGGTGAATCTTGCCATAGGATTGTCTCCTGTTTTCTGTTCCAAAGGAACTTAAACACTTGCCAGTTTTTCTCAGATCTGTTTCTTTGTTTCCTTTATCCCTTGTCAAATTTAAAGGCTCCAAGTAAATTTTACCATTCTCTCAGTCAGGGAGTTTCTTTGTTTCTCCAGTATCTTTCACATAAGATCCTTGAGCTGCTACCAAATGAAATAGCAAATTCCCATCATCTTTAGCTACTGCCTTTTTCAAATAAGGGGTGGAATCGGGTCATTTTGAGCTGAATACGTATTGCAAAATACTTCTTATATGTGCTGTAATTAGTTGCTAGTACATTTTCTCTTCTGTAGGTTCCCACCAACAATGACAAGAAATTGAGAATGTGCTCTCTATTTTTGCCTGCTTCATCCAACCAGAGTAAGTGTCATTTTCATAAATGCCTTTTCTTCCTTTGCAGTTTATGATGTGTTTGTCAATATGGATCAGATATAATTGTCCTTGGACTATATTTTTTAAGCCTGGGTTGGATAATATTACAATAAAGCAATTTTTCGAGCAGTGAATGCATAGTAATGCAGTCAGGAGTTTTGTTTTTGTTTAGTAAAAGAGCTTCTGTTTCTTAGGCAGTGGGGGCTGATCCGTTGCGGTGAATGGGGCACATCCCCATCCCCATCATCATCATTTTAAATTTGTATACCGCCTTTCTATCTTACAATACTCAAGGCAGTTTACAAGCTGAAGAAACAAAAAATGTACATCTTATAACAATCTAATACAGTGGTACCTCGCAAGACGAATGCCTCGCAAGACAAAAAACTCACTAGACGAAAGGGTTTTTTGTTTTTTGAGCTGCTTCGCAAGACGATTTTCCCTATGGGCTTGCTTCGCAAGACGGAAACGTCTTGCAAGTTTGTTTCCGTTTCTTAACACCGTTAATACAGTTGCGACTTGACTTCGAGGAGCAACTCATAGAATGCGGTGTGGTAGCCTTTTTTGAGGTTTTTAAAGACTTTGGTGATTTTTGAAGCTTTTCCAAAACTTTCCCGACACCGTGCTTCGCAAGACGGAAAAAACCGCAAGACGACAAAACTCGCGGAACAAATTAATTTCGTCTTGCGAGGCACCAATGTACAAAAATGTGATAATAAAACAGAACTTTAAAACAGGCAACCTCCATCAAAAAGTAACATTCAACAATCATTAGAATAGTATAAAATAGTAATATCAACAGAAAAGTTAAACAGAAATCCACTCAACAGTTACAATAATATCTGAACTATAATCAATGAAACAACGGCAAGCCACAGTACATAAAACAATACAATACACATTGAGAAGCAGAGGGTGGGGCAAGGCAGGTGGAAGGAGGCCTTGCCTGATGAAGTCTCTCCCTCACAGTCCCCATGCCCCCACTGACAACATTCTGCCCCCACCTTCCTGTCTTCTCTGTTAGAACCCAATTGAAGGGGTGGCTTTGCCCATCAGCTCCTTCCTCCTTAGTTTCAGTTTTGCAGGATCGAGAAAACACTGGGATTAATTGGTTCCGCCTGGTGTTGGCCCCATCTACACTACATATTTAAAGCAGTATCATACCACTTTAAACACTTGTGGCTTTCCCCCAAGGAATCCTGGGAAATGTAGTTTGTTAAGGGTGCCAATAATTGTTGGGAGACCACCACCACCCCAGTCCCTCAAAGAGCTGGAATTCTCAGAGCAGTTTTACAATCAATCCCTCTTCCTAGAGAAGTCTGGGAATTGTAGCTCTGCGTGGGAAATATGGATCTCCTCCTCATGAGTTGCTAGAAGTGTAGCAAGCAAAGACAAATCTGAACCAGCACACCATAAGTGAGTTACACCCCTGTTCCCAGCACGATGCTCAGTGTGACTCTACTTTGGTTGAACTTTGTGGACTTTGCAGTTCAGGAAGCACAGCTCTCAAAGTGCCTGTTAACTCATTCTCTCTCTCTCTCTCTCTCTCTCTCTCTCTCTCTCTCTCTCATGAATCTATACTAGGACTTCCATTCTAAAGGAAATCAGCCCTGAGTGCTCACTGGAAGGACAGATCCTGAAGCTGAGGCTCCAATACTTTGGCCACCTCATGAGAAGAGAAGACTCCCTGGAAAAGACCCTGATGTTGGGAAAGATGGAGGGCACAAGGAGAAGGGGACGACAGAGGACGAGATGGGTGAACAGTGTTCTCGAAGCTACCAGCATGAGTCTGACCAAACTGTGGGAGGCAGTGGAAGACAGGAGTGCCTGGCGTGCTCTGGTCCATGGGGTCATGAAGAGTTGGACACGACTAAACAACAACAGTACTAGGACTGGAAGAATCTGCTCATTTTTGTTTCTCGCAGTTTCTCCTTTCTCTAGTTCTTAAATTCAGGTCCCCACATTTCCACAGCAGTTTGCTTTAAAAAAAAAAAAGTCCTCATAAAAATCTGTTACCATTTTACTGTACATTTCCCCTAGTACACACATTTTTGTATGCAATTTTGTTTAATATACTCATTTCGCAAACAATTTCTCCTAATATGTGCATCTTTGTATGACATTCTCACTAAGAACTCTCATTTGTTTTGTTTTGTTGCTTTTTTCACATTTTGTCCCAGAATATTCATTTTGGGGCACATTTTTGTTTGTTTGTTTTTGTTAGAGAACCACATTGCAAAATTCAGCGAAGGGCGAACTTCTAGGGATAGCTGCACTTTGCTTTGTTTTGGGAAGTCTGAATTGCGTAGGCTCGTGTTAAAATGTGAGCTAAACTGAACTTCTCCTCCGATCCCTCGCCTTGTAACCTTGTAGATTAGACATTAACGGCAGCAAATAGATATTGTTCCGTAAGGAACTTCAAAAAGCTGTCATGGTTATGTGATCTGACATATTGGAAAACAACCTTGGGGGAAGAGATACAAAGCAGAAGTGGCATTTTCTCTGTGACAATGGCAAATAGATGGGACAAAGAAAAGGGCGATGATTTGAAGCCAGAGACATTGGACAGCATAGGCTACCATCTGATGGGGCTCCCTAAAATGCTTCACTTGTAAAATTGGAAAATACAAGTGGAGAATCTAGCAGGTCAAATCATTTTTTAAATTTTTGTTTGTAGGTGTTACCACAGCCCTGAGGATGAGCTTCATTCTCATTTTAGATACTCCTTGAAATATTGTGGCTAAGGCACACACTGAACTGATGGTAAACAACATTGCTGGGACATCTTTTGATGATTCAATGTCCTGTTTGTATGATGCGCAAAAACAACCTCCCAGAGCCTAAGAAAATGACTCATTTCCCCTATTTTAAGATGTAAAAGACCTTATCAGGTTGAGCATGCTTACTGCAAAAGCCACAGAGTTAATTCTTTTCTCTCACTTGGAGGAAAAAAAACAAACTTGGCTGGGAACCAGCAAGCACCTTAAAAATGCAGAATTTCTGATTCCAAGGAGGTGGGGGCAGACACATATAATGAGTCAGACCACTGGTCGATTGCGCAATTCCTTCACCCCCCCTCCCCCGACAAATAATCTTGAATCTCATTAACATGTTTTCCTGTCAAAACCTGCTAATTTTAAAGCATTACTTACGTTATTTAAAGCCAAAATTGATATTTACCCAAAGGAGGGGCAAGTTCCATTGCGTTTGCAGAAGTCCTTCTGCATGTGCCATTATCCAGTTGGAGACAACCTGTTGCTTTTAAGTGAATTAACCATTTACGGTGCTCCTCCACCGTATTGTGGCTTTGCTGGCATCCCAGATACGTCAGTTTGCAACTTTATTATTTGTTTCTTTAGTCATACACTTCACTTCATATTGAGTCAGACAGTTGGTTCATCCAACTCAGTATTGTCCACACCGAGGGCTTGTCCACACTTCTCCCTGTCCTAGAATCCTAAAATCATAGAATTGTAGAGTTGGAACTCTGAAGATCATCTAGTCCAACCCCCTGCAATGCAGGAATATGCAGTTGTCCTATACAGGAATCGAACCTGCAGCCTTGGCATTATCCAGCACCATGCTCTAATCAACTGAGCTACCCAGCTTCTAGAAAGCAGGAGTCCGAGCAGTTTTCCACTTGCCCCATGCTTTCTAGGCATGGGTCTGAGCGGCTTTGCCTTTTCCCCACTGCTTCCTCCCCCCCCCCCGAAAAACCCACTCTTTAGTTCTAAATTGGAGCAAATGGCAATTTGCAGAAAACCCAATTGCCTTTTGTTCTGATTCAGCAGTAAACTGCGAGTTTTCCCAGGGGAAAGCAGCAGGGCAAATGGAGGTGTGGGAAAGCCCTGGCTGCTTCTCCCGGGTTTCAGGCGGGGGACATTCCCAGCCCTAGCTGGAGATGTCAAGACTAAACCAAGGAACTTCTACATTGAAAACATGTGCTACCAGCAGTGGTGTAGCATGGGGTGGGTGGCCACGGGGCGGTTTCTCTAGGCGCAAAATTCTTAAGGGCGTAAAATTTAGACACCCGGTGCTACCTCAATACAGTAGAACACTTCCGTTGCTGGGCTTTGTTGAAAACAGCTTCTCCATGCAGACCAGGAAGTGAAGTCTCCATAGAACAGAACATCTTTTCTTATCTCTGCAGCTGCGATCTCCTGAGGGAGGGAGGACAGCGGTTGTGTGTGCATGCTGCTGTGCTTGAGGGCAGCCATGAGGCCTATTAGGCAGAGCAGCCCCAGTTGTGGGGCCGCTTCTCAGGTGGCGGAGAGGTTTCCTCCTGGCCGCTCCTCTTAACACCTTCAAATGCAGCCCACGGACCATGGGTTAGGGGATACAATACTTGCCTTGCCCTGGGCTCTGGCAACCCACGTTACACCACTGGCTACCAGAGAACTGCATCATTTCCCGAAATTTCTAGTCATTTTCTCTCTCTCTCTCTCCTAATCTCTCTCCCTCTTTTCTCCTCTTTCTGGCATTCTTCAGGACCATTCCCTGTTGCTGTCATGCGATCCAAGGCCTCCGCTGCCTGCTCTTTTCCTAAGTCTCTGCTTGCTCTGCTCCTCTTTGCCCTGGTCCTTCTGCCTCTCCCTAAATTTTGCGGAGCTCCATTTGCGACAGAGACAGGGACCCTGTTGCTGGGGAACAGAAGCAACTGAGGGCTACTGTGCTCACGTCCTGCTTGTGGCCTTCTCAGAGGTATTTGGCTGGCCACTGTGGGAAACGGGATTCTCGCCTGGGAAGGCCTTTGATCTGATCCAGATGGGCTCATCTTGTGAGACAGCTCAGCCAATGGAAGAGAGCAGCTCAGCTCAGTGGAATCCAGAGGCCTTCTGACTGACTGACTCCTTTGTGATAGGCAGGGTGCTAAGTCAATCAGTTCAATTCTCATCACTGCCGCTACAGCCGTTAGTGCATTGCAATACAGATTATTAATTTAGCATCATGGATACTCCCTTAGGGTGCAGAGGGATGAGAAAGCATGTCAAGTAATAGCCAGCATCTTGATTAAGCATGCATTTGATCTGTCAAACTGAACAATGGGCAGCATTGTACAGCTCTATGAATGACAATTAATTGCATGGCTTTAATTCCTAGATGTAACTATCCTGTAAATCACATTGACATTCACTCCCCAAAAAGCTTTTAATTTTCAAGAGTTACTTACATTATTTAAAGGGAAACCCGATATATGCCCAAAGGAGGGGGAAGTTTTCAAAGGCGGAATAAATTTACTTCTGAGAACCAGGCACTGTTAACAAGAACAAGCTTACAAAGGCACCACATTCATACCCAGCTTGTGGGAGTTTTGACTTTTGTGTCTCAGGAAAGCCTTTTTTTTTTTTTTAATGCTGATAGGTCTTTGCCACTATTTAATTTTTTATTAGCCAGTCACCTTAACGATTATCTGTATTTTTGTACAGATATTTTGTGGTAGAGCATATAGAAATACTTTTAATAAATACTGCTAGGAGGGCAGGAGAGGAGGGAGCCCCCTTCTAATGTGAGGGTCCAGCATGGATTCAGTTCTGGGAATAGCCAGGCTAGCTTCCCGATGAGGTAATGGCTCTCTAAACATGGGCCATTAAGGTAACAAAGGAAGTGGTTCCGTGCCAGATAGCAAATGGGCAGGCCTCTCTCTCTCAACTTGCTGGCAGTTAGAAAGACAAAAGCCAGGGTGGATAATTATGTGAGCTAGAAGTTGACAGCTGGCAAGGCTGTGGGCTGGGCAGCTGGGAGAGAGAGCCATGCCTGAGGAATGCAGTGGTGATTAGGTGACCTAGGTGAAAGAGGTTGCAGTCTGTTAAATGCGGCAAGCTGGAGCAGAGGGCCATGGCTGATTTCTGCTAGCATCTAAGCCCGTTGCTGTGAGAAAAGCAAGACCCTCTTGGGGTGTAAATGCTCTGAACCCCTCCACCATAGACTCAGGTTTCGATGTGTGCAAATAAATCATATATTCTGAAGAAACCACAGCCTCTGCTGTCCTTCATTCCAAAGGCAACATGAACCCTGGGTAAGCAGCTGGAACCCCTGAAATCTCGCACCATTTGGAGATTGGGGTGGCTCGCAACAATACAAACAAGCAAATGAACATTAGTCTAGGGTTCTGTTTGAAACAGAATACTGCTCTCATTATTGGAATCCAGGGCCAGCATCAGAGACTGGCATCTGCCAAGATCTCCTCTCCAACGTATCCACTTGGGACCTGGGCTCATAGACCCAAATTTGCCATTGCTGTTTTTTATTTATTTTATTCTTTTTGTATATAGATGCAAATTTAGAATTCAAATGTCACAGAAGGGAAGCCAAATAATTTCCAGTCCAAATCATTCCAGACAAATTAAATTCAATTTGTATCGCACCCCAGATCACTCCAGATCAGTTTCCCCTTGATTTGTTTATGCACAATTTATTTCGCTGCAGATCTTGCTCCAGATCTATCCTGTCTCCCTTTAATTACTCCCATCCGTTACCCCCAAATCACCTCTAGATAAAGTCAGGGAGTTTTTGCTATTTGGAAGAACGTGTGCAGCAGGCTTTGGGCCAAATTACTTTGCTACATACGCTTTGCAAGTTTGCCTTTGACAATTGTCTGGAAAACTGGCTCATCTATGCAAAAAAAAACACCAAACAAAAAACCAGGGATCGAGACGATTTTCCTAATTGCTTAGGAAAACAAAACTGCCTAGAACTGCTATATATTTTCTTGAAATGCTTAATATATTTTAAAACAGCTTCTTTAAAGAGGCTTTGTTGGTAGGACGAATAAAAATAAATTCTTTCTCATTTGGGTTTCCTGCCTGCCGCTTTTTAAACAAAGAAGATGTGATGCCTTTATATGCAAGGCTGCTGATCAAAGTGTGTGTGTTTAAATCATGACCTAAGTATTTACTTAACTCCAAGGGAAACAATGGGTTCACCTTCATTCATAAGCGACCCTATTATTGGGTTCTATAACTGGAATCATTTAGGACTACTTTCCTTTATGTTCCGCATCTGAAAAGTTAGGCCAATGTACAAAGACCTCCTTCCTTTGCTACTAAGTCCATATAATTATGACAAGTGGGGAAATGACTCAATTATATGGACAGGATTCAATCCATTTTTATTTTCTATCTTTCTCTGCCATGGCAGGTGGGTGATATTGGTTTGTTCTCGGTCCCAGGGAACACCTTCCCATGCAATAGTGCCGAAATCCAGTGTACAAACTCACCGAGATACTAGAGCAATACCCAATTCTCAACAAAGGGGAACTGTTAGAGGGGAAGAATTTGCGAGCTGTTCTAACGCCCCAAATCTTTGTTACACGTCAGAGCAGGAAAGCCTGCTATTTTCACAGCCGGCTTAAGTAAACGTTTTATTTGCTTTGGGAAAACGGCAGCTTCGGTCATGCAAGAATGCAGCAGGGACATCCCCCTCACAAAACCCATTGAATCGGACCAAACTTGAGCAACCTGTACCGCTGTGCTCTTACGCAAGTCCCATTCATTTCAAAGGGTTTTGTGTAGGAGAGGTTGCCAGGGGAGTCTAGAAAGTGTTGCTCACTTCCTGAACTTGGACTTGCAATAGAACTTCGCTTGTCAGCCCACTTATTCTTTTGTGGTACCTTAAAACTTTGGCAAACTTTTTGGCATTTACACCTGACCCAGGGGTACCAACTTGAATAAAATATTGTGGAGGCTGAGGTAAGCCCTGCCCCACATCATCATCATCATCATCATCATCATCATAATTTATTTATATCCTTGCCTCCCCAGCCGAAGCCGGGCTCAGGGCAGCTAACAACAATAAAATAATACAACATTCTAAAATAATTTCATTATAAAATTAATTCAAATCAAATTGATGGCAACCATTGGGCTAGAGTTCTGTGAAGATTGCCAAAGGAGGGAGTCAGGCTGTGCCCTGGCCAAAGTCTTGGTGGAACAGCTCTGTCTTGCAGGCCCTGCGGACAGATGTCAAGTCCCGCAGGGCCCTAGTCTCTTGTGGCAGAGCGTTCCGCCAGATCGGAGCCACAGCTGAAAAATCCCTGGCTCTGGTTGAGGCCAGCCTAACCTCTCTGTGGCCTGGGACCTCCAAGGAGTTTTTGTTTGAAGATTGTAAGTTCCTCTGTGGGACATACCAGGAGAGGCGGTCCCGTAGGTACGAGGGTCCTAGGCCGTATAGGACTTTAAAGGTTAAAACCAGCACCTTAAACCTGATCCTGTACTCCACCAGGAGCCAGTGCAGCTGGTATAGCACCAGGTGAATGTGATCTCGCAGCGATAATCGATCACATCATGCAATGCACACACATCATTTGAATGGGAATGCCCATAAACTTTGGGAGAGGCCAGCTCCCTCAGATATTTTATTGTGGGAGCCAAAAACCCCACAGCCCCTAGGAGTTGGCTCCTATGACCTTCTATACATCACATTTCAAGTATACAGAACATTTCACATAAATCTTCTCATCCTTGCATCACTTACCTCTCATGGGCTTTGAGTCTGGAACAAGAAGATCCATTTGTATGGAAGTGGTAGCCTGTATTAGTTGGCCTGGGAAAGTTTGTATGGGTGGTCATATTAAAGAAGAACCATTTGTTTATCCAAGACAGTTGTT